ACATCCTTGTTATGTATTGATTTACGATGACCTCCACCAATGGAAATGCCTTTTGCTTTATAAGAGGATGAAATTTCTTGAACATCATCATTTTCTTGCATATATTCTTCCTCTGCATAATTTTGAAACTCTAGTGTATATGGATTCATTTCATCATAATGTTGTTGTGTATTTCTTTTCTTGGTGACAGTACTTTCCAGAACCAATCTTATCTCAAAACTAACATTGGGAGGGCATCTAGTACATTATTCTACTTCTCCTTTAATCCCTGCCAAATGTTGCTTGAATCTATTGATACCACCTCCCTTAATTACCTTGTGGCAATACATTCAAATCAAATCCTTTCCTCTTTTTGAAGACACAGAGTCTTCCCGACAATGTGCCCATGCGAGGTCAGTCTTTTCTCTTATTGCAACTTTTGTAGAAGAAGGATTTGGTGTAGCGCTAGTTGGAGTAGAGCTAGTGGGTGTAGATTGAGATTCAATTAGTGTTCCAGATTAAGACATTCTACTATGACATCGAAAACCAAAAAGCCACAACNGTGACAATACATACAAATCAAATTCTTTCCTCTTTTTGAAGACACAGAGTCTTCCCGACAATGTGCCCATGCAGGGTCTGTCTTTCCTCTTACTGCAACTTTTGTAGAAGAAGAATTTGGTGTAGCGCTAGTTGGAGTAGAGCTAGTGGGTGTAGATTGAGATTCAATTGGTGTTCCGGATGAAGATATTCTGATATGACATCGAAAACCAAAAAGCCACAACTCACAAGTAATTAAGCCCCACAAGTCACAACACAACACACTAACTTTAAACTTTAAATTATAAACTAACATTCTAAGATACACAAAAAATAGATCAAATTTGATACCAATATGAATTTGAGTAGTGTGATACCAATAATAGCATAAACCAAGTAATTTAAGCCCAAATTGCAAGTGTATATCTATGGCACCTGTCAAAAAAATAAAAAGAAAAAAGAAAACATTCAGCAAAATTTGAGAATGAGATAGAGAGTGTGAATAAAATGTCTAAGGCCAATCAATCTAGAAAATGTATATACATCCTCATTCATGCATATTATGACGACCTTCCCACAAAGGAATTAGAAAACAAGTAATGGCATATAGTACAACATTAGTGGGATCTCTTTATAATAATGCTATATTTAATTGGTGAAAACCTACAATGACCATATCTACCAATAGTACAGTACCTGTGGTGGGCATTTCCATTTCAAACATACTTTACAGTTCTCTNTGGTGAAAACCTACAATGACCATATCTACCAATAGTACAGTACCTGTGGTGGGCATTTCCATTTCGAACATACTTTACAGTGCTATTTCTTGGTATTTCATTTCAATTGCCCTGTTTTATAACATACAAACTCTCACCACTCAAAGCACGGATGAATCAGTACACAAATCAGAATGCAGTAACAATGTTCACCACCTTTGTGAAATAAGAGTTAAGAACAGTTATTCAATTCAACCAAAAAAGTTGAGCATAATCTACCTTCCCATTCGATAACATAACCATACAATAGAGGATAATATATCTCTAATAAAATACGAATTGAAGAAAATTAAGACCAAATTCAAGCACTTTGTGATAATCAAACACAATCAGATTCACAAAGCAAATATTCAAAGAGTATAAAAATTGCACGCAACGAAGTCTGTTAAAGGACTTACAGTTAACTTAATGGAGTCACTGGACTGGAGGAGGTTAGGCGGTGGAGGCTAGGTGGTGGTCACTGGTAAGTCGCAGCTGATCGCTGCTGCAAGGTGGTGTTCAGTCGGTTGGTGCCTTGGTGGTGGCTGTGAACTGTGAAGTGCCGAAGTGGGGTGGTGGTCAATCGGTGTGCTGTGGCTGTGAATTGTGAAGTGCCGAAGTGGGGGTGGTGGTCAATCGGTGTGCTGTGGCTGTGAACTGTAAGTGCCAAAGTGGGGGTGGTGGTCAGTCGGTGATTGTTGTGGCTGTGAAGTGCCGAAGTGGAGTGGAATCGTGGATGGATCGATTTAAAAGAAAGGAGAAAAAAAAACAAAAGGCCAAAAGGCAAAAGGGGATCTCAGATAAACCGTCCGGGTTTTATATACTTGTCCGGTTCTCACGGGTCACTGGTTTTTTGACAGGTTTGACGGGTCTCAGCCGGGTTCTATACACAAAACGATTTTTTAATAGAACTGGCCCGGTTCACCAGGTCTCCGGGTTGACCCGCCGGGCCGGGCCGGGTTTTAAAACACTGGTTAAGATGACCTATTCTGTATAAGATGCTTAGCACGCCTCAATTGTGGAAACTCCACAAAATTACCAGTAGGCAACTTTTACAACACGATGAAACCTTGTTGCGATTGCTGAATTTACTTTGAACTCTGACTTGATTTTCTTGATTGCAAATTAGACCAAAACCATATTCTGGAAATTCCGTGTTTAAAGCGCCTCTCAACCTTTCATTGCATTGCATGACTCTTATAGTCATTGATGCCATATTTGTTTTGCAGGGTTTGTTGTTTCTTCTTTGTGCATTATGCCCTCCAGATGTTTCAAAGGTTCGTGTGGGGAAGCTCTCGCCATATGGAATAGAAACACTTAGGCACATCAGAGACTTTTTGGATGTTAAATTTGACATCAAGCCTGATCCATCAACGGGAACTGTCATACTTAAGTGTGTTGGATGTGGGTTGAAGAATTTATCCAGAAAGATATCATGACAAACAATGGCACGAGTCAGAGAGTCTTTATACCAAAAGATAAGTTGCTTCTTAAATTAACTCATAATAAAGGATATCGTTTGTTAGTGGGTTGGCTTACTGGGATATGCAGTTGTTCTGGCATCAGGTGATCTGTTAGCTTCAAATTTCGGTTTTGTTCCTTCAGTTTTAATTTATCTAGAGGACTTTTTTCATCTCATCGTTTTTTTTTAGGAAAAACAAGGAGGAGATTAGGCATATTTTTTTTAGGGCGCTTGACATTTATTGGAATGCTTCAATTGATAGAGTTATCCACAAAGCACATTGATATGCTGTTCTGCCTTCAACGAGGTTACTTGGAAATAAAAAAAGAAAGGAATTTGATAAGATCATAAGACTTAGCACCTCCTCCCATATTGTGAAAATGTTCTAGGTTATGCGGTCAAAGACGATTCCAGTCAGATAGATTTTTATTTTTGCCAAATGAGTCAAAAATTACCCTGTCCTCTATGTATCTTTTCTGGAACATCCTTTTTTTTGCATCAATAAACAATTAANACGATTCCAGTCAGATAGATTTTTATTTTTGCCAAATGAGTCAAAAATTACCCTGTACTCTATGTATCTTTTCTGGAACATCCTTTTTTTTGCATCAATAAACAATTCAAATTCAAACTGTATAAAAACTAGAGAATACAAACATCGAAAGTGATTCAAAATGAATTGTCAATAGCAAGTTCAAATAACCTAACATCTTAACATAAATTATTTTCCAAACATTAATCATTGTATTGTGTCATATAATCAATCTTAAATTGTTAAAGACAGGTTTACATAAGTTGATTTTCATACCTTCTGATATGTAGGCCAATGGCTGCATGTTTTTTTTGTTTTTTTGGGTCAATGGTTTGGGGTGTTCGAATCAGTTTATATTTACGCTGAGATTAAAATATTTACGATAAATAAATTTTTTATGGCTTAGTCTCAAAAGAATTATTAAACTTTGAACTTAAAACGTTTGAGTTTATGATTATTACTTGAGTTATCTTTAGGATTAAGGGCCCAATGTTCATATATGGGCTTGAGTCTTGTTTTTCTTTTCTTTAACTATCGATTAAAACGAGCTCCACGCCAATAATTTGTTTTACTTAGGTAGCGTTTGGTGCCATGAAGTTTATTTATTTATTTTATTTTTGCTAAAAAAAAAAATAACGNTCATATATGGGCTTGAGTCTTGTTTTTCTTTTCTTTAACTATCGATTAAAACGAGCTCCACGCCAATAATTTGTTTTACTTAGGTAGCGTTTGGTGCCATGAAGTTTATTTATTTATTTATTTTATTTTTGCTAAAAAAAAAAATAACGCGTTTGAAATGTGTTTTCATTTTTTTTACTGTCCCGTTTTGAAAGCAAGGTCAAAATATGAAAACATAAAAATGATGTTTTTGAAAACATCAAAAAAAAAAAAAAAAGCGTGCTTCAATCCCACCTTTTATCGAGGTCTTACCATCGAATCTTGTTAATACCAAAAATCAGGACTTTTGATTGAAAGTATAAAAAGATATCTCTTCTATCTACTATTCCTCACCTAATTTTTCTCTCTATCGTCTTCTCTCTTTCATCTTCTTTGGTGGTGGTTGAATGACTGATGGTGGTGATTTTTCCTTGGTTTGGTGTTGGATAACTGGGTGGTGGGGGTTTGCTTGGTTTTGGGGTGGGAGTGGGTTTTCGTGGTAGTGATGGGTTTATGGGTTACAAGGGGTTGTGGCCTTGTGGGGGTGGATTTCGGTGCTGGTGGGGTTGGGTGGTGGTGTATTTTGGGGGTAGGCGATGGGTTTCACATAGGGATTTTGGGGCTGGGTTTTCGATGATGGTGGTAGGGTTGGGTGGTGGGGGTGAATTTCAGTGGTGGTGGTGGGTTTCGGGGTTACAGGGAATTGTGAGTTTCGGTGGTGATGGTGGGAGTTTGGTGGTTGGGTGTTTGGTAGTGTTAGTTGGTTGGTGGTGGTGCTGGATGGTGAATTTTTGATATAATACTAAATATATTTTGTATTTTTGTTTTTTAAATTTTTTAAATATAAATGACTATCAAATATGTTTTATATTTTTAATTTTTATTAAAAATAAAATAAAAATTAATTTTGGTTTTTTTATAAAAAAATATAAAAACAAAATCGTTACAAAACACTGTTAATTGTTTACCAATTGATTGAACAAAGTGCGCTCCTCGTCTTTGATAACTAGTCCGTCAATAAAGTGGGGTCGGTGTCGAGACTTTCTTGGATGACAACCTGTTTTTCCACTTAATTGCCGAGAAATTTCAAAGCAACTTCCCAACCACGCCTTTTCTTCCCTGGTTCAAACGAAAGTGGTTGGAAAAAACCCATAAGCAAAACTTCACTCCATCTTACCTTCTGCGCAATTGCTTTGCTCTATATTTATAAACCCCCAAGCCAGGACATCAGTCCCCAAGTTTCATCATCCAAAGAAATCAAGCATTTTAGTGCTGCGAATGCCAAAGCATCGGAGAAACAGGGCAATTCCCATGGCTTACGCTTACAGGAGCCACAAAAGTGATGGTGAAGGCTCTAGCCCCTTGCTCTCAATGATTTACTACTTTTTCTTCTTGTCTAATGGCATCGCCGCAATATGCCGAGCATACGCCCACAACGATTATTACATGGTAGCTTTCATCGTTTTCGTTTACTTAGGTTCCTACTTGTTAGACTACTGTTGGTCATCGTTTCATCGGTTGCCTAGGCATGAGAAATCACTACGCAAAGACTTGTTGAAGTTTGCTGCGTGGCTTCTATATTCGGCTATCATGTTTGGATTTGTCTATCAGTTTGGACAATTGTTCTCCCGGGCTGCTGCGATGACTCTTTATGTCGTCTCAACCCTGTGCAGTGCAGTCCTTTTCTATGTCTACATGATCTATGAGGAGGATGATCAAAATGGACGTGGTTCTAAGAGAAGCAATGGTGAGAAATTCACATTTCCTCCAACGCATTTCGATTCTATTCTGGAGAGAGTATAATAAATGCATCATTATGAAGTAATTTTCCTCCTCGTGTCTTGGACGTATTGTTTCTCCCAACGAATAATATCCTTGTGTGGGTAAATTATTGTGAAAATTCTGATAAGTTTGTATTGGTATAGAAGCATAGTAATCATGTGAGAAAGTATTGATTTAGCACAATGAAAACCACTTAATGAAATATTTTTTTTTATTTTTTTGGGTTTAATGGTAAAATTGTTTGGATTAATTTATACACACGTCAATAATCAAAAAATTAATTAAGTAAAATGGAAACAATCTAATGAAGTATTGTTTACTGCTCTCCCTGTGTTTTCCCATTATTTCTTTTGATATAATGAAAAAGTAGGAGGATGAAAAGTTAGAAGAATAGAAATTTAAAGGGATAAAAAAAATATTATGTTTGGTAAGGAAGGAAAGTAGAAAGGATGAAAAAGTGGATGAATTAATTTTTCTTCTAACTCACAAAAATCAATTCCTCTAAAATTGGAAGGAAAGTGGATGGAAAGTTAATTATTTGTGTTGAGATGTATCTTATTTGTCTATATATATTATGTATACATTAATTTTATAAAAAAAAAATGATAAAATATGTATATATATTTTAAAAAATTTTAAAAATTAATTTTAAAAACAATAAAAAAAATTAAATTAAAAAAAAAATATTTTTTCTATTTTAACTAAGAATGAAAATTTTAAACTCAACACGNAAAAAATTTTAAAAATTAATTTTAAAAACAATAAAAAAAATTAAATTAAAAAAAAATATTTTTTCTATTTTAACTAAGAATGAAAATTTTAAACTCAACATGAGGACACGACTCGAATTCGATACGAAAATAAACAGGTCAACTCGCAGCTCGACACAACATAGTTAGTTAAATTATGTTTGACTAATATTCAACACAAACTTGTAATAATTAAACACGAATCTGACACGAGACGACTCGACTCGACTCGATTGTCACCCCTAATTTTAGTTTGCACAAAAAAAAAATAATAATTATTTTTATTTTTCATCCATCCAACTAAACATAAAGGAAAGAAAGTGTATCTCTCCTACTTTTCATCTTTGAAGGATAGAAAATGTATCTCTCCTACTTTTCATCCTTTCTATTTTTCATTCTNACCCCTAATTTTAGTTTGCACAAAAAAAAAAAAATAATTATTTTTATTTTTTATCCATCCAACTAAACATAAAGGAAAGAAAGTGTATCTCTCCTACTTTTCATCCTTGAAGGATAGAAAATATATCTCTCCTACTTTTCATCCTTTCTATTTTTCATTCTCCCTACCAAACTGGGCATAAGTGTTTATCACTAATTGTTTTTAAATAGATATGTTATTAAACTAATTCGACTTATGTGGCCGATTCAAAGTAGTTGATGCAAATTCAGACCGAAGAAAAAAAAAAACTGCTCTCCCTATGTATAGCTACCCCTTCTCCTTTGTGGAGATTCTTCACCTGGGCACCTTGCTCGTGCCCTTCCGGTGACTCCTTCACTCCCCAGATCATCCTCTTGCTCTCATCTCTTCTAGTACCATTCCCATAGCCAATTGCCATCTCAAAGCCGACAAGAACCACCACCACCGCGCTCAAAAACGTCCCACCATTCCACATACACAACTTCACCGACTCCACATAGATACAATTTCACACCTCCAAGAACCAGCAAAATCTGCAGTTCTTCACGTCTAACAACCCGAGAACGCCATAGATACATGCGACAAACAATTTCAACAACTCTAGGAAGATATCTTCCTTCCCTCTCTGCCCTCGCACGACTCTTTTGCGTTATTTATTTACCCGATTTTGCTGTGATGTCTTCTACACTAAACGCACGCCAACTGTTTGATAAAAGGGCCATGTGCTCTATACAGTAGCTTTTTAGCGATGGTTGCTGATGCACTGGACTAGTCATTGAACCAAGCCATCAAACGAGTCTCACCCTCTTACCTCAAGTTGATTATATTTCGCCGAGAAAGACCATCAAACAATTCCGGCTGAAAGGCGGCGCTTTTAAGGCCAATTTTGATCAAGAGTGGGATGGAGCAAAGTCTCGGCGGAAAGAATTGGGACGAAAGTCATCCACAGGACTTGTCATTAGAAGGCATAGGTGACAGAATTAGAGTGCATTAATAGTCTCCTGTAATAGGAGGATTTTCCATTTCTATTTGTGTTTTATACTCTTACTCTTAGTTAGATATCATTTTTCATAGATCAGGTGTAGAAGTACTCTGCAGACCTTTGGGCATGTATTGAGCAACGTTGGTGCTCGATTATATCTCTTGTACCCTGTTTTCTCATAATTTCAATTTTTATTGAGCAAAAAAAAGAAAAAGGCTTAATGAAGCATTGTAATCATGGGAAAAAGAAGATAAAGACACTTGAGATCCATTTCCACCTGAAGTAAAATTCTCATGTGTGAGAAAGCTTTGCCACAACTGGAATAGGAAAAAACTTTCAGAATCTGGGAGGGAGAGCGATTTCTAGGGAAATGGAAAACTACAATGTTCCAAGGCGAATTCTAAAGAAAGAATCTGAGAGGTAGTAATAAGANAGAATCTGGGAGGGAGAGCGATTTCTAGGGAAATGGAAAACTACAATGTTCCAAGGGCGAATTCTAAAGAAAGAATCTGAGAGGTAGTAATAAGAAGAACGGAAGAGGTGATTTCAAATTAAGAGGAATACCACTAAAAACATTACAAGTGGAGATGCGGGGTATCGATCCCCGTGCCTCTCGCATGCTAAGCGAGCGCTCTACCATCTGAGCTACATCCCCAGTTGAAGTGTTTATTAGTATATAATATATATATATAAAATAAGGAAAAAGGGATTTTACCTATTTTAATCCAATTACTGAAATTATTCTTAATATTTATCACCTTCATATTTTATTATTAAACGATTAAGAGGTGATGTAACCATCACAGCTAATATTTTCTACCAAGTGGACAACTTTTTTTTGCAAGTCAAGGGTTATTTAAATTATTATTTTTACTTGTATTACGTGACAAGTTTATAATAAAAAATTATTANGATGTAACCATCACAGCTAATATTTTCTACCAAGTGGACAACTTTTTTTTGCAAGTTAAGGGTTATTTAAATTATTATTTTTACTTGTATTACGTGACAAGTTTATAATAAAAAATTATCAGAATATAAATGTTGTTTATTTGAGAAATTATATAGAAATATATTCATTGTTCGATATACTAAATAATGTAATTAAAATATTAGAGGCTAAAATAAGATAAAATCAATATTATGGAGACCTAAGTGCAATTAAGCCTAAAATATTATCTAAACTTGGTTTTTATTCGCACCCCGCTCTCTCAATGCACACACGCAGAGTAACTTTCATTTCGCCAATCCGTAGAAAATGCTGAGAAGAGTAGTGCTACAGGCTGCGACGCATCGTCGTCGTCGTCCCTTCTTACCTTCTTCAATATATGCATTTCGACAATGTTCAATTTCTGCCTCTTCTTCTTCTTCGTCAGAGTCATCTCAAAATTCAAACAGTTCTTTCGTCGAACACTTGGAGGGCCCAAACCAATCCACCGAAACCACTGCTCAATCCTCTACCACAATCTCTATCGACCGCTCTGGCTTATACAATCCCCCTGGTACTTTATCCCGTGTTCACTTCTTTCTGTATTGTCTCTGTGTCTATGTTTTGATTGAAATATTGCCTTTTGGATTACAGACCATTCTCACCAACCGTCGTCGGATTCTGAGCTTGTTAAGCATCTCAAAGGCATAATCAAGGTTTAGATTTTATTCTCGTTCTCTTTTGTCATAACTGTCATTTCTTCTTGATTGGGAGTTGTACAACTCTTGTCTGTGCAATTCGAAAGCGCGCACACAGGCAATTTGAACCTTTTTTGGTGGTGATTTCTCAGTTTCGAGGCGGGCCAATCTCAGTTGCTGAGTATATGGAGGAAGTTTTGACAAATCCGAAGGATGGTTTCTATATGAATCGGGATGTGTTTGGAGTAGCAGGCGATTTTATAACTTCTCCCGAAGTGAGCCAGATGTTTGGAGAGGTAATCTCATTGCTGCTCAATTGTTAACTGCGTAGGCCTCTTTACGATTTCGTTGAGTGGGGTCAAAAAATAAGAACTCTTGTATTTGCAGCATCGAGCATTTATTGGCTAAAATTTTGAACTTCACAAATTATGTTGCTTTGGTTCGCAATTCCTCGAAAGTTGCTAAAACTGCCAAATAATTTCTTAAATTTTGTTGATTTAATTCAGATGGTTGGTGTTTGGGTAATGTGTCTGTGGGAGCAAATGGGACAACCAAACAGAGTGAACTTAGTTGAGCTGGGTCCAGGAAGAGGAACTCTCATGGCTGATCTTCTACGTGTATGGTACCACAATTCTTGTCATATATGTCTCTTAAGATATCTTAGAGTATTTTACAGTTCATATAGATATGTTTGCCTCTTCCGTGCAGGGTGCATCGAAGATTAAGAAATTTACAGAATCACTTCACATACACATGGTTGAATGTAGTCCAACTTTACAGAAGCTCCAACATTGTAGCTTGAAGTGTACAGATAAGGATGATGCTGATGGAAATTTAGAGAAACAAATTATTAGCAAGTTGTCTGAGACTCCTGTATCATGGCATGCCACACTGGAGCAAGTTCCAACTGGAGGTAAGGAATTATCTTGAGCTTCGTTATAGTTAGAAACTTAGAAATGTGTTCTTTCTACCAGTAGATAGTGTTTTAAAGAAATGATCCTAAACAACATAGTCAACAGTCTTTAAAATCTTCGAGTTCAGTTTTGTATTTCAGTAAATATTTTAACAAGAGTTTTTTGTGGAACGTTAGTGAGATTTCTCTCCTTTTTGTCTAACAATATAGCTTTTTGTTGCCTTTTTTCAGTGCCGACAATTATTATTGCCCATGAGTTCTATGATGCCCTACCAGTTCATCAATTTCAGGTTCTCCTGGTCTCAATGAATGTTGTGTTTCCTGCTTTAATGTTAAAGTAATATTCTTGGTGGCTCTCAAACTATTCTTTTGTTTTTAGCTATAGGATATTATTTGATATTCAAAGAGAACCACATGTGCACCTCCACCTCCAATCCCACTTTCTGTGTTGAACTTTAAAATACATGGGGTGCTAGAAACGCAGCTCCAGCACAATCATCTACATATTCTCACTCACTTAGGATGCCTATTAGAGAACCTTAAGGATTGAACAACCATGAAAGAGACAAGTCTGATAATTTTCTTAGTTTGTTCCTTTTTTTCTCATAAAAATTAAAAAGTTAACCTTTGTAAGCATTTGTCATTTTTATTTGAACACTTGGATGGTTGTTCAAACAGAGACACCGGTAGATGGAAATATCTTGTCAACAGGTGTCTGACTCAGCAATTGTTACTGCATCATTTGCCAACATATCCTAGGAACCCTCATTATGCCCCTAGTTGTAATCTTGTCAGTGATTTTGAATGAGTGTAGTGTTGACAGATGTTTGATCCTTTTTTTCAGTTAAAAGGAGTCTCCTACATATCAGAGGATCTCTTTATCTCTCCCAACTTACAATGCCATCATCTGACCTTTGGACTCCCTACTGTGTGTAATTCAAGCCAATGAGTGTGAGAGCATTATACGTCTTGTTGTTTTTGCTCATATTATTCTCTAGACTTGAAGGAGTTTGGTGAGCTAATAGACCAAAGGATGACATCCTCAATTTCTGGTAGAAGGGAGCAAAAAGACCTGCAAAAATTAACGTGGAAGGTGACCAGCATAATATTGGTTAGTTAGATTAGCTGATGTAGGTGAGATAGTGGACCTATCATAATGTGTTGAAAGACATTATTCTGTAGTAATTCTAGTGTGCCTTTTAATGCAATCAATCTGTTAAGAATCTTGGGGTTTTTACTTTTTATCCTTCCGTAGGTATTACATATCGGAAAAGTTAGTTGTAATATCTGTTGATGAATGCTACTTTATCAGCCAAACGTTTTAGTCTGTAGTGTCGACTTCAACATCATTTGCTACCTTGGGAGAATCTCCATTCCCAAATATTTCCAATTTTTTAATATATTTCTTTATATCTGATAAGAAGTTTAAAAGGAGTTTATTTCTTTGCAAATTTCAAAAGTAAAAAAATAAAAAAGCTTCACCACCATTCTTCCTTGTAGTGGTATGCTAGTGGCTAATATCTTTTCTTTTTGCGCATTATTTTGATTTCTTGACCTGTCTGCAGAGAGCTTCTCGTGGCTGGTCTGAGAAAATGATTGATGTTGCAGAAGATTCATCGTGAGGCTTCAAATTCAGTCTCTGATTGTTTGTCTCATTGCAGGATTATCTTTTGTAGAAAGTTGGATTGTTTGATGATTTTGTTCTTGTATCCATTTTTCAGGTTTCGTTTTGTTTTATCTCCGCAGCCTACACCTGCATCTCTCTATATCATGAAGCGCTGCAAGTGGGCTGAGAGAGAAGAAATAGCAAAGCTTGATCACATTGAGGTTTGCCCAAAAGCAATGGACTTGACTCAAAATATTGCTAAGAGAATAAGTTCTGATGGCGGTGGGGCACTCATAATTGATTATGGTTTGAATGGAATAGTTTCAGATAGTCTTCAGGTTTGGTGCCTCCTGTTGTTGATTGTACTCCTCACGTGTTTTAGTAGATAATTAGAGGCCGACATTCTCTGGATGGAATTTTTCTGCTTTTGCTTTGGAAATTGAACTTTTGCTTATCTTACTATATACAATCCAGGACACACTATCGTTGGGGTCCAGTCATCGGTTTTTCCTTTTGGGTCCAAAATCTGTGCTTGTAAGCATTTAAGTAATTTGGTTTGTGCACACTTGTTTAATTTAGAACATTGAAACCCTGGTTATGAAGTATGCTGAAAAATAACACAATCTTGTACTTATGCCATCCAAGAAGCCTGGATACTTCTACAAAGAAGACATTATGTATTGTGTATTTTATCAGACAACCATATGTATTGGACATAGGTGTATGATACTCGATATATCCAAATTTGGAAAACATCTAATACGTCCTAATGCATCACTCTTTATAATGTTATATACTGTCTTGACTATAGAAAATGTTGTGTGAAATTGTATGTTTTTTCAGTTGCTAGCTACGAGTTTTGGACCCTTGACTCCTCCCTTCTCCTTCCTTAAGATACCATGTCAATATTTAACAAACTATGCTACAGCGGCTTTGGCCATTGTCTGTGAGTGTATATCATACCCCAACTATTTTTCGAATTCAAAGCCATCATGTCCCTGAGACTATAACTAGCTTTCCCTTAGCTTCTGTTTTCAATTGGATGTTCTCACCTTGTAGTACATTTTTGCAGGCAATTCAAAAACATGAGTTTGTTAACATACTGGACAATCCTGGCTCTGCTGATCTGAGTGCATATGTTGATTTTGAGGCAGTTAGGCACTCTGCGGAAGAAGTTTCAGGTGTGCATTCTTATGTGCTATTGTGTTAGTTTGTAGTAATTATGGAAAGGAAAAAAGAGGTACTGACAGGTACTAAAATAGAAAATGTGCAGTAGATTACATAAAATTGAATATTTTTGCAGAAGATGTGTGTGTTCATGGTCCAATCACTCAGTCTCAGTTTCTTGGTTCTCTTGGGATAAATTTTCGGGTTGAAGCATTGCTGCAGAGGTGCACAGAAGCACAAGCCGAGTCTCTGAGGACAGGCTACTGGCGTTTGGTGGGCGAAGGGGAGGCCCCATTTTGGGAGGGTCCTAATGAGCAGACACCCATTGGGATGGGTACTCGATATTTGGCAATGGCTATTGTGAACAAGAAGCAAGGCATTCCAGTTCCATTTCAATAAAAGCATTCAATAAGGTTTTATGTTGTAGTCATATGCAGAACACACACCTATTGTCCTACACGTCTCAACGACGGGTTCGTTGCGCAATTTCGGAAAATCTTTGTGAATGTTTTTGTCTTTGACAATCCTTATTGGGGTAATCATATCCATATTCTTTATACCTTTTTTGGGGGGTTAAATAGAATTCTCTTACTAATGCTTGTTGCGCGATCATATGAAACGCTTCTCGCTGAATTTTCTGGTTTTTTGATGCATTGACAGGCCACAGTTGGCAATTTGGGTTGGGTTTTAAAGCATGGGCTCCTAACGGTTTGGGCTTTGAAGTTGTTGACCAATGAAAATGATTCATGAGTGAGGTACCTTGGTTTTTAACTTTTAGCAACATTAAAAGAAATATAAAGAAAAAAACTTAATTAGTGATCACCCATAAATCTGCGGTGCAATTGCCAAAAAATAGCATTAGAAATATATATGATTGTGAAGAACTACAAATGAAAAACCTAGAAAGATTGTCTTTTCTATTATTAAAAAATAGCTCATTTTCTTTTCTTTTGGGTAATTTGAAAAAAAAAATCTCTTCTTAATTCTTATACTTCAAGACTAGCATTCTTTCATAGGAGAATTTCACTTTACAATATGATTATTTCGTTAATTTTTGTTGCTCATTCAATAAAAAATTANCTTTCATAGGAGAATTTCACTTTACAATATGATTATTTCGTTAATTTTTGTTGCTCGTTCAGTAAAAAATGATATCATAAACATTGATAGAATAAATAACAAAAGCTAAAAGAAATAAACTGAATATACCAAATGAGAAATCTAATATTTGAGGGCAAAAGAACAAAATTTCTTAAATCTTTTTGGATACAAACTGTCATTCTCCCTTCTTTAATTGAAAGAGCTTATAAAGCCAAGGCTACAACAGTGACTTTGTTGTTGGACATATTGTGCGCCTCTCGTTCGATGTTTTAACCCCCTGCGCATACACAGAGAGAGAGAGAGAGAGAGAGAACCGATGGGATCGTTTCTGTCGAGTTTGCTCGGTGGAGGCTTAGCTTCGGCCACTGAGGGCTCCTCATCGTCGGAGTCATCCCGCGTCATCCCATTCCACTCATCCAACCGATGGCAGATCCACTTTAACGACTCCAAGCAATCCAATAAACTGGTTACATCTCTCTCTCTCTCTCTCTCTCTCTGATAGATTTTGTTGTTTGTAGCTATTCTAGGGTTTTCGAGCTTTACCAAATTGCGGATCTAATTGTTGTAATAGTACTTGATTTTTTTTCGCTGCTGTTGTTGAGGAGTAAAGATGGTGGTGGATTTTACGGCATCGTGGTGCGGGCCTTGCAAGTTCATGGAGCCGGCCGTCAACGCCATGGCTGAAAAATTCGCCGACGTTGACTTCGCTAAGATCGACGTGGATGAGTTATCGGTATGTATCAATTTCCCCAAATTTTCTAGTTCTCTACTTAACGAATTATTCTCGGATGGCGTTTGACTAATTGAGACGTACTTGTGGCGATGAGGGGGAATGATAGGGTGTGGCGCAGGAGTTTGGGGTGCAGGCTATGCCGACATTCGTGCTGCTAAAACAAGGCAAGGAAGTGGAGAGGGTTGTTGGGTCCAAGAAGGATGAGTTGGAGAAGAAGATCATGAAACACAGGGAAGTACCAAAATTCGCTGCTTGATTGCAAAAACATTTCGCTACTATTTGTGCTTTTCAAGCAGTATAATATTATGATTAACATATATGTATCCTCTTGATCATCTGAAAGAAGAAGAAGAAGAAGAAGAAAACTGGGTATTTCTTTTTAATTCAAGACTGTTTTTCAGAACTTGATGGATTGATTCTTCTATTTGAGAATCATATTAATGTTCAATTTGCAGTACTTGGAATCAATTCTCTGTAATGGCATCACGTCTAAAATGGGATCAAAATATTCTGAATGTATNGAATCATATTAATGTTCAATTTGCAGTACTTGGAATCAATTCTCTGTAATGGCATCACGTCTAAAATGGGATCAAAATATTCTGAATGTATTGTAAAGTAGCTGCGAACTGGAATAAATTCATTCATTGTTGCTATTAAAATCCATGGGGCTAAATATACTCTCCAATCCAAGTGTAAAATTAAACATATCCTTTGAATTAGAAAGGAAACAAGAATGAAAAGCATAGATGCTTAGAACTCTTTAAGTAAAAAGTAGCAAGTCTCTCTCTCTCTCTCCATAGTAAGAGCATCTCTAGTCACAATCAACAAAATTGTTACTCAATATATATATATATATATATAAATATTGAATTTTCTATTTTAGTTAATTATTTAAATTAAATTTAACTAACTTTTAATAATATAATTCAAAAATATCACATATAGTAACACATAAGCGACGTAATGATGACGTGTTATGCCATGTCATCAAATTTTAAATTTTACGACAGTTATATTTATAACGGTCATATTTTTTAAAATGTATAAATAAGTCATCTCCCTTCTCATTGTCATATATCTCAAATTTATTTTATTGGTATTGAACTCATATTTCTTTGTTGTGGCTTGTGATGGTAAATTGAAGATGGTTCTTAATGATTCTGACTCTAATGATGAGTTAGAGATATTAGCAGTTGCTGCTACGACAATGAAAAACTTAATACGAAGAACAGCTTCGCAATACGTCGTAATTCTATTTAAGACCATTCTGTTATTTTTCGCAATCGAGTTGAAGGGCATAAGAAACTTTATAGCAATTATTTTATTAAATCGTCTGATGGGACATTTCCGAAATACTCCAAGATGAAGACACGTGTCCTCAGTGTCACTAATTCTTGTTGCCGAGATCACGTACCCATCGGTTCACAAGTTCCCTTTCCCCCGAGGTACTTATCATAGGGATCAAGTGGCATCCAGTACGTTTTTATGTACCGACACGTACCCCTCGGTCTGATATGGTACATCGGTCGCTAGGCCTCCCCCTCTCGGCTCCGAGATGTACCTCTTCCTCGGTACCGAGATGTACCCCCTCGTCCAGGATGTCGTTCTCTGCTCCAACAGAGGCTATTGATGTACAGGTCACTAGTCTAGGCTAGGCTAAGTTAACTATCATGACCTTGTCTTACGCAATTGGTGTCAGAAGGCACAGAGGGCAGGGGACACAGCCAATGGGGAATGGACGGGTGGTATATTGTGTCACATCAGAGACAGAAAGACCGGATGCCCTTGCTGACATACGACTTGGGAAAGCAAGCATTTAATTATACAATTCCTTTGATGAGACAACATTTAATGCGGTAAGGCTCGGAAGTGAAAGGTAATAAATGTCTCTAAGGCTGGACATTTATTACATCCTTGCCGAGAGGAGTTCATTGAACTATCAGCAGGCCGATGACACAGTCTTGATTGCTCGGGGTCCCGAGCAGTTAAAAGAGAAGACATTCCTCGTAGGAATCAGTGCGCACGTTGCCTGTATCTAATGATCACCTACTGACCACACTGACAGCAATCATGAGTATTTGAGGTATAAATACTCCTCACTAAAGGNTTCTTCAGCCTTATTGGATCGTTCCGTTGACCCATGAGGGTCTCTCATTACCGTTCCAGGTTACCACCGGACCTCACAGGCTGTTCCAAGCAGCGGGGTTGACCGCTCGACTGACTCACTCGAGTTCACCAAGGGAGAGATCTGTTCTCGTATTTATATTGTGCAAGATCCAACACGCACAATCTGGCGCCGTCTGTGGGAAACGACTAGTGTTCCTAGTTTTTTTTTTTATAAAGAACAGTGACCATAATGAACACTCGACAAAAAAGGGAAAGGTCCCCACCAAAGAAGTCTCGAATTACAAGCTCCCTGTCACCATGGAGGGAGGGATCACACTGATGGGAATAAAAATGCCTCTACTCAGTCAAGAGGGGTTACCCCTCAAACCAGTATGGGAATCNCCACCAAAGAAGTCTCGAATTACAAGCTCCCTGTCACCATGGAGGGAGGGATCACACTGATGGGAATAAAAATGCCTCTACTCAGTAAAGATGGGTTACCCCTCAAACCAGTATGGGAATCAGGTCAGGAGGATCAGTCCCCTTGGCTCGTCAGCTGGCGGAGGTGATCGAAGAAAAGTTTGGCGATAGATTACGACAGCTGGAAAAGGACAATGTAAACGTCCTAAGCCAGCTCAACGAATTTGCCGCCTCTGGCGAAGGGTCGAGGGACTCATTCCTTTCTCGTGGGCTCCCCGCCCGGGAGGCGAAAACGAAGGATCTAAGGAATCATCTAAACAACAAGGCAGAAAGCTCCAGGGCCCCAAAGCGGCCAAGAGTCAACGAGCACCCTCATAACGACCATTCAAGGAAGGCAAGACCATTAGCCCTGGACGACCTCCGGCGAGGATTGTCTAGACGGAGGAAGGGAGATGAGTCCGAGGAGGATTCTGCCCTATCCACACGGCGCCCAGGAAATGAGGGGCTTATTGATGAACTCAAGGACTTCAGAAGACATCCCGTCAGGGAGGAAATTGATCTCAGAGCCCGGTTGGAATCCAGGAGAAAGAGTAAGGCTGTCCAGGATGAGGTAACGAGGTCATACAAACACCCTTTACCAGGGAGATCGAAGAGATGGAGGTTTTAAGAAAGTTTGTTGTACCGAGGTTCAAAACTTATGACGGGCGGTCCGATCCCGAAGCCCATCTCAAGCAATACAAACAGATGATGTCCCTCTATTATTCAGACCAACGGTTCCTCTGCCGAGTATTTTCTATGAGCTTGGAGGACTCTGCGATGAAGTGATTCGAGGCGCTTTCCCCCAACAGCATTGGATCGTGGAAGGAATTGACGAGGCAGTTTCTGGCTCGATTCATTACGGGGAGTAAGCGGCCCAAAGACGTTGGATCATTGCTAACGCTCAGACGTAGGGAATCCGAGACCCTTCGCCAGTATGCCATCCGATACTGGGAAGAGGTAAATGAGGTAGAAGGCTGCTCGAAAGTCATGACAGCGGCGTCTTTCAGGCTCGGCTTGGCGAGGGACACGGACCTGTACCGATCCCTGACCAAGAAGACTCCCTCGGATATGGGCGAGCTGATGGCCCGGATAAACAAATACTCAAGGATCGAGGACGAGATGGGAAGCAGCAAAGGCCGAACCCTCCAATCTAAGAAAAAAGAGAGGGAGCGGGAGGATACTCCACGAAAGGGACTGCTACCCCCTCCAGGGGGGTCGTCCAAAGGAGTTCACACTATGTTCAGGGAACCCATCTTCAAATTGCTCCATAAGATCAAGCATGAGCCGTTCTTCAAGTGGCCGCCCAGGATGCAGAGCGATCTCTCCACCCGTGATCAAAAGGTTAGGTGTTCCTATCACCGGGATTTCGGACATCGCATCGAAAGTTGTAGGGTATACAAATCGTTCTTGGAAAGATTGGTCCGAGACAGATACTTGAAAGAATACATAGAGCCCAGGCCAGAAGAGAGACATACCCTTGCCCCGACCGAGGAGCCGGACAACGTCATAGATGTCATCCACATATGTCCCCTAGATCGTCCCACGTCCAAGGAACTCGAGTCCGATCTCAAGAGGGTAGCTTTTACAAGGAAGATAACCGAGGATGATGGGGGGCCACCCAGTAAAAGGGCCAGGACTGGTGAGCCCAGCATCACGTTCTCCGACGCGGAGTTGAAGGGTGTGGTGACTCCTCATAACGACGCCCTTGTCTTAACCCTGAAGAGAGGTAAATTTGACGTCAAAAGGGTGTTGATAGACTCCGGAAGTTTCTCGGAAGTGATGTACTCTGAGACTTTAAAACGGATGGATCTTGGCCTCAAGGACCTCACCAAGGTCAGGACACCCCTCATCGGATTCAACGGCTCGTTCGCCCTGCCCGTAGGCAAAATCACATTGTCCGTTGTCACGGGTCCCTTCATCATCAACACCGAGTTTGTCGTGATTGATACGGACTCTCCCTACAACGTGATCATGGGACGAACATGACTGCATGCGTTGGGAGCGGTGCACTCCACTTATCACCAGAAACTAAAATTTGTCACGCCAGAAGGTATCATGGAGATTCGGGGAGACCAAGCGTCCGCAAAAAATTATTTTTATTCAGCTGTTAGAACCGGAGCGTTCACCCAAGAAAAGGGGCGAGCACCGAAAGAGATTATGGAAAAATAGCAATCACAGTCCGGACGTCCAGGAATAGATGACCCCCGGATAGACCCAACTGAGCGGTGGAGGACCTCCGGAAGGTGCCCTCGGTGGAGGGAGAAGAAGAAAGATATTTCTTAGTTGGAACCGCGATGCCCGCAGCCGAACAGGAGGAGATGATTGAGTTCCTAAGGAGAAATGCAGACGTGTTCGCTTGGAACGCAATGGAAATGACGGGAGTAGACCCCGAGATAATCACGCACAAGTTGCATGTTGACCCGGCGCACAAGCCAGTCAAACAGAAGCCACGACGCATGGCCCCGCATCACGCCTGCGTGGTCAACGAAGAAGTCGACAAACTCCTGAAGGCCAACGCCATTTGAGAGATACAGTTCCCAGAATGACTGTCTAACACGGTTTGCGCGAAGAAGAAGGGGGAAAAATGGCGTGTCTGCGTAGACTTCACAGATCTAAACAAGGCATGTCTCAAGGATGACTACCCCCTACCAAAGGTGGACCAGCTAGTGGATGCTACTGCCGGATATGAACGCATGGACTTNGGACCAGCTAGTGGACGCCATTGTCGGATATGAACGCATGGACTTTCTGGATGCCCGAGCAGGATATCACCAGATCCCTCTCCATCCCCCAGATC